GATTTTAATCGGCTTTCATCGCTTCAATGCGCTTGAATTTTCAGAACCGGGCTCTTCCTAATTTGCATAATCCGTAATCGGCCCGTGGGCATTACGGGAAAATAATGCCCTACAATTCAGTGACAATTAACCAATCAGAGCGCACGTTATATCGGCCACAAGCCAAAGCCATATAATAAAATATTCTAATTTATGTACTATGCCCGCCCCCAGGGGTAATATGTGGAGGATAATTGAAGGCTTTCGTGCAAAAAGGGCGTATATCACTTTTTTGGCCGATTGTTATTTTTAGCAGGATTGAGCTAATTTTTGCCAGACTGACTTGTTTTGACATGAAAAACATCGTTGTGTAATTGTTTTTGTTGATTTGCATTTCGTTTTCGAGAAATAACGTATGCGAAAAAACTCAGTCAGTTTTCCAAGCGGCATCTTTTGGAGCGAATTAATCCTTCGAAGGTTGATTTCGACGCGACGCGAACTTAAACGGCTACTTTTAGTAGCTTCGACAGCACGGTTTTCTTCTTGAATAGATGTTTTTATTTTTGAAAGAAGTAGAGAAATAGACTGGAAAAAAAAAGCGGCCGACATCGTATCGAACCGATGTCACGACAAAACAAACTGGAATCCGACCCGGTCGGCGCCTTATTCGCTTGTGCTAATGTAGCAACAGTAACAGACTAGCGTGATTATATGAATAATAAAACTTGTATCGGTTCGAACAACTAGCGGCAAATGCCACGCTTTGGTGACTTCATCATTTAGCTAAACAGAAGGTTTCTTTTGTTTTTAGTTCAACAAAAGATCTTCAAAAGATACCCTTGGAAAACTGACTGAGTTTTTTGCATACGTTATTTCTCGAAAACGAAGCGCAAATCAGCAAAGACAATTACGGAACGATGCTTTTCATGTCAAAACAAGTCAGTCTGCCAAAAATTTGCTCGATCCTGAAAAAATCACGAAAACCTTCAATTATCTTGAAACTGTCTACGCGCTAAGCACTCGAAAGGCAAGCACTTGTCTTGAAAGACTTTAAACAAAGAGATTGTTTGAATAACAAGTTTGTTAGCAGCCCATATTCTTGAGTAGGCACGTTATGGGGACTGTTTGAACAAACTTACTAGAGGGCACCGAAAGTAAAATTTCACAATGGCTTGGCTTTCCAGCCAAACCTTCTCAGTCTTATAGTTACGGTAGCGCGACTCTTTTGGAGTTAATTTTCATTTGTAATCTACTGAGTTTAACATATTTACTCTTGGTTCTTTAATTATTTTAAGCAAAAGTTTTAACTGTAGCTTCCTCGAAGTTCTGTTATCAGTGATTACGAAGACGTTTGAAACCTTTTTCTCTAAGCAAGATTTGAACTGTGACTTGAAAACCGGATGAAATTTCTCCACATCATAGCTTCCACCAAGACCACTTCAGGACTGAGAAGCGTAGCGAATGAACATAACTTGACGATGCTTGTACGTACACCAATAATATTATATACCTTCTCTGATAAAAGCCAGGCGGGAAAAAAAACCAACTCTTCAATCTTCTCAGCTCAAGCCAAGTTAACAAATTTTGTTAGATGACTATCTTCTGTGTTTATTTTGGCTTCAACACTTGGCTTACTATCTAGGCAAGATAATGAACGATATAACTTTTTTTGAAAGCCTGATGTCCTAAGCCATCTCAGGCTGGTTTATCGAATGTCATAGTCAAGGTATCTTCTAGCTAAATTTTATAGAGGTTTTTGCACTCTCACCAGAAAGACTGAAGAAAAATTAAACACTGAAAGCTGAGGAAAATTTGAGTCGACAATTGTTCAAAAGTTCTGTTTAGCACAAGCACTGATTTGCAACCCATTAAAAAGTTGAAAGCCAGCTTACCTTCCGGTAAAGTTTCAAATAGAGAATGTCAGCACCGTAATTAAACTTCAACACAGCAGGTCAACACCCTCTGAAGTTCTGATGAAATATGACATATGAACGTGGCTTTTACGTGTAAGCAAATTGAATTGATTACGCAGCGAAGCAGTTAATTCTCTTTCTTTTATTCTATCAAAATTCATGATGTTTATCACTTATGATATCTGTAATTCGAAATGGGTGTATTTCTTTCTACAGGTTTGATATGAACATCCGTTTTTAACCCTGCCCTTCATAGAAATTCTTGTCGTAACTTTCCCGGGGGAATTTGTTTCTACCGTTCAGATTAACAGGGTCTTTCCTCTCACTGTTTCTTTGTACTGGTCGGTGCGTCTAACAGAAGTGATATTCCAGTGGTATTGTCAGTAAATTATTCAATACTAGAACAGCGTAGGATGGAGTAGGATGACAGAGGGCACGGTCCATCGAATTTGTTACCATTAATGATACCACTTAAATCTAAAATAAGAAAATTTCTTTTGTTTTGAGCCAAGAAGCTGGCTCTATTCATTATCAAGCGGAAAGGGCGTCTCATCTTCAATAAACGGCGTGACAGTTTCAAGCTGAAATTACAGGGCGCAATATTGAACGGACTATGTAAAAAAAAAAAAAAAAAGAAAGCCGCTCGTAAGTGGTTTAATTAGAGTTCGAGCAAATGGTGCATTGTTAATCGATGGCGGTTGCAAATGGCGGGCAGAAGTTAATTCTTTGTTATGTTACTTTTGCAGAAAAATAAGACGATTGCTATGTTAATTTGTTGTCGAGAAACGAATTGAATCGATTTCGCTTTTCGCTCATCTCCCTCTTTAACAGTTTCAACCATCATAAGTGACTTTATTATCATTTGGCAGTGGAGCGAAACTTGAACCAAACATAGGTTTGCCTTTGATATGTTTATCAAGCTGAAAAAAGGAGGATTACTTTGTTAGATTTTAATCTTTCTCGTCAGCTTTTTATAGTCCAATTTTCCGCCCACGGTTGATATCTATCAGTTAGATCGGCCATTCTCCGAGGTCATGGTTACACAGCGAAGCAGTTAATTCTCTTTCTTTTAATACATCAAAATTCATGATGTTTATCACTTATGAGATCTATAATTCGAAATGGGTGTATTTCTTTCTGTACTTTTAATAAGAGCATCTGTGTTTTGCTTTGCAACACGCTAGGGCTGGCCAAGTCTGTCTGCTAACGTACAGGATCATTCCAAAATCATTAGGTGTCCAGCCCTCCCCTACAACCCTACCCTTCATTGAAATTATCCTGCAAGTATTCTTTTCGCAACTCTCCAAAGGGAATTTGCTTCTACTGTTCAGATAAACATGCGCCTTTCCTCTCACTTTTTCTTTGTACTGGTGCGTCAAACAGAGGTGGTATTCCAGTTCACAGTTGTCAGTATAAAGTCAATACAGGAACAGCGTACGATGGAATAGGATGACAGAAAGCACGGTCCATCGACTTTGTTACCATTAATGATTCAACTCAAATCTAAAATGAGAAAATTTCTATTATTTTGAGGTCTTAGCTGGCTCTATTCATTTTCAACCGCAAAGGGCGTCTATTCTCCCATAAAGGGCGTGACAGTTTCGAGCCGAAAATTCAGGGCGCAATATTTAACCGACTATAAAAACAAAGAAAACCGCTGGTAAGTGATTCACTTAAGATATAAGCAAGAGGCGAATTTTTCTTATGAAGGGACTACAGATTCGGCGCTGGTTGTAAATGGCGGGCAGAAGTTAATTCTGATTTATCTTAGTTTTGCAGAAAAAGGAGGCAATTGCTATGTTAATTTGTTGACCAGAAACGAATTTCGCTTTTCGGTCATCTCCCTCTTTAACAGTTTCAGCCATCATAAACGACTTTATTATCATTTGGCAGTCGAGCGAAACTTGAACCAAAAATAGGTTTGCTTTTCATAGTTTATCAAGCTCAAAAAGGGAGGATTAGTTTGCTAGATTGAAATCTTCTTCGTCTGTTTTTTTTATAGTCCAACCCGTCCATTCGCTATGTCATTTTTCGCCCACAGTTGATATCTATCAGTTTCGATCAGTTAGATCCATTCTGAGGGTCTCGTGGCAGGCTCGTAAGGTCTCAGATGAATGGCTTGATGTCCTTTACGAAGCCCTAAAATAATTACAGCTGCTAACAATGAAAGAATTCCAAGCTTACGAGAACTGCCACACTTCTGATTCTGCGCTGTGTGCCAACATGTAATTTATGTTAATCGTAAATCAGCATAAATTACCAGTTTTCGCGAGTGAGCGCATTATAATGTATTGTTCCCTTTCAGTCAAGCGCGTGGTGTGACCTTTTCCTATAAAAGAATAACAGAAATTGTTAGTGAATAATTCTTTCTCCCCAAAACTGTTCAAGTTTCAAACCCAATCCTAACAGTCATTGTAAAAGATGCACTGTTCAAATACAAGGAGTGACGTAATGCGACGTTTAGATGCATCTAACATCATTATCATGAATAAAAATCGTTGAATGTCAAAGCTGTTACATGTAAAAGACCGAAACCTATACCAACGCATTATGGAACACACAAGCTCCAGATCTTCGATTGGCAAACATATGAAACAACATGGAGTCGACAAACCAACTATCGCGGACAATTTTTCGGTCCTCAAAACGGCCGGAATAAACTAGACTGCCTTGTTCACGAAATGTTGTTTATTGTTTATACAAGATCTCAAACCATCATAGAACGTGCAATCGGACTCGATTCGCGCGAAGCTTTTCATTAGCATAATTATCACGCACACGGGAATGCCACCTAACGATATTCATAACTCAACTCTCTTTTACCTTTGACATTCAACGATTGTTATTCTTGATAATGATGTTGGATGCATCGAAACGTCGAATTACGTCACTTCTTATATTTCTTGTTCAAATACACCGTTCAAAATGTTTTTTCTCCTTTTTCTAGAACGTGCATATCCCGGAGGCGGGGGGAGGAGGGGGGCCCGGGAACTCCCGTATAAAAAGGACGGGGGGTGCTTGTCGTACCTTTTAGGGGTTGAAAAATTGGTTTTGGTACCTCTCAGGGTACTCAGCCTCAAAAGGTCCACAGCGGGAGCTTTTACGTTACCTTTAAGGGTATTGAGCCGAAAAATATGACAGGAGATAATGTTTTGTTTTAGGGTAAAAAAAAAAACTTTCAAGCCACGCCCACAAAGCATGATCTTGGTACCTTTTAGGAGTTCTTGTCAAACTTTCCGACGAGCGCTCCCGTCCATTTTATATGGCAGTGTCCCTCCCCGGGTGGGGGGGGGGGTGCATATTATGATGCTTTGGATTCTTTTTCAGTCGATCGCCGACTAACTAACGGAAGTATGACTTTTTTCTTCCGGCAAAAGGATTGTAGATCTTGCACGTGAATAAATCTCTTTCTTATAAGCTTAAACTTTTTCAGTCGATCGCCGACTAACTAACGTAAGTATGACTTTTTCTTCCGGCAAAAGGATTGTAGATCTTGCACGTGAACAAATCTCTTTCTTATAAGCTTAAACTGAAACTTAAAGTTTAAACTGAGTTCTAACAATCGTTCCAGATGGGACACTGTTGAGTGCTCGCATTACTTGAGTAACACTGAAGAAAACACAAAAGGGTTATTAATCAGCAGCTGCTGCCCTTTACTTAGTGTTTCACGGTAAAGACACTCAGTCACAAATGCGGCCAACAAAATAAAACAAACAAACAAAAACAAGGATAATTGATGATGACACTGGGAAACCCAAGTGTACCTGTGTAGGCGTCATACACATACATACATATGTGTATGACGTCATGAGAAGTAACAGCAAGTAAAGCAACAACTTCTCACTACTGACATTTAGTGTAAAATGCCGCTGTTTGTGCTATACTCTTAATCCAGCTACGATGGCCTCAGAACAAGAGTTTCAACTATCTTTTCAACTCTCTAGCAAAACAAAATGAAGTATTAAGAATTCAAACTGATGGGAGGGTGATCAGTTGTCTATTCACAGAACGCGATCGAGGAGTTGAACTCGGGACTACCGAGAAACAAATCCAGATAGCAGTAGCGTAAAGGATTTGGACCAGAAGCTCCAGATTTCGTATCCAGTGTCCTAAACCACGCTGCATCCTCCTCTTTCTCCTCCTTCCTCTCTCATTTCTAATTCCTGAGGTTTAGTAAGTAGTGAGGTGTAGCACCCTATTTGCAACGTGGCACAATAGGAACAATTAGTAGGAGGGTCGTATCAATCTCTCAAAGCCCCGCCCTATCAAGCCTCCTAATGGAATTATTGAACACCACATCTATGACAACGAATTCCCAATTTCATTTTTATTTTCCATTTCTATTTCTACATCACATTTCTTGTCGTTTTTTCCCTCATCCTGTCAGGACGTACCCAGTTGATATTGTTGCCGCTCAATTGCAACGGTAATGGACCTGTACGAGGAGACACAATACAAAGTACAAATATGTTACAAAACAAAGTGAAACGCTTGCACTTTGTCCATTTTCGGTTAACACATAACTTGTATTTCGCGCTTTAGGTGGCTGGCAACAGATTCCAGCACTTTCCGACAGCTATCTATCGACGGATCAATACTAGCACTTGTTATCAAGTGATGTTACAATATCGCTACAATCACACAAACACCAAGCCATTGGTGAACAAATAATGGTAATCTTTATGGCATAATAGATTACCATAGCAACAGTACAACCTGTTAGAAACACCCTTAATTTCAGCTTATAACTGAAAAACGAGATGCTACTTTCTACAAAGTTTAAAAAAAGGATCATGTGGAGGGTGTTCAGAGCCACCTCAAATGTTCGGAATTTCATTGGCTACACAACATTAGAAACCGGTAGGAGGCGGGTGTTGCAACGACCTGTGATACCGGTTGCATATCCCCTACCGCTATACGGCAATCCCCTACCACCCCCGCCCGACACAAAAAAGTATATTTTTGACACAGCATTGATGTTCACTTGAAAAGTTTATTATTTTAGTGATCACGGCGTGTTTTATAAAACAAAGTATATTAGCTCAACATCACTAACCTCCAGATATTTCGGTGTAAGGAAGCAAGGATCCTTTTTTCCAAACTTGTCGTTGGTTGCTTCCAGTTTGCAACGATCCTGGCCGTTGCAGTCTTTCTCCACAGTTTCCATGGAGCTCTCCGCCCTGCAGTTTGTGTTCAAGACGATCAAGAAACCACAGACATGCGGTCCCTTCAAACGGCCATAATTTGCGTATTCGATGGAAATTTTGCTTCTCTTGGGGCAGTCTATAGAAGCTTGCTGACCTTCGCAGACGCGAATCTTCTGCAAGGCACCTGGTTTTGCTGGTATGCACCTGTAAGATACCTGTTGGTTCAGAACATCACCGGCCATGAGCTAAAAAGCCATGAATAAATTTGAAATGGTTCTCAACAGACGGTGTTCCTTTTTTTTGACAACCGTGTGTGTTTAAGTGTAAAAAAGCTCCCTATCTCAAGCAATTTTAAATGCAGAATTATTTTGATTTATGCATTTTCGCCTTTGCCGAAACTTGGCTTTCAATAAATGTCCAGTAACTTTTAAAAATCACTACATTTCTCGTAAGCATAATCAACACACGGAAGGTAAAATGTCACGGAACTTTTTTGGCGATTTTTTATATGTAGGAGATTGCATTACTCTTCTTCAGTTAAGTTGTCTTTTTAGAGTTGAAAATTAAACTATGTGTTACATGCTAAACATACCTTCAGATACTTAAGGGTACCAAAACACGGGTCACCGTACTCATGGTTGTTGGCATAGAGAGTGCAAGACTTGAATCCCTCACATTCCTCTTTGGTGATTCCCAAGGTTCCCTCCTTAGAATAGCACTTAGCATTCCAGTCGAACAAAAACGACAGGCAATACTTGCTTCCTGGCTCTGTCCTCCCATATTCCGCCTCACTAATGTGAATCTCCTGTCTTCCTGAACAGCTGATTTTGAGTGTCTTACCCTCACAAACTACCGCTTCAAGGTCAGGCTGTGTCCCCCTCTCTACATGAAATGAATAGATGACACGTTATAAATAACTGTTACCTATCTCAAATGATACTAGCTTCATCTAAGCTTTCACCAAACAAATCTTACTTTCGCAGTGAACTCCACTCATAAGAAGAGAAAAGACGAACACGAACCAAATTGAGCTCATGGTTATTGATGTCACCTTCAAAATAAAGAAAAACAAACAGAAAATTGTAACAAAACTAAGTGCTATATATAACCCCTAATTTTATTTTGATCTACGCTACTCAATCAAATTGCTTTTTGCGTCGATCTTTAGACCTGCTTAAAATAAACCTTGAGTATACACTTAAGTAATAACATAGGAGCTGTTATGTCAGTAATTCGAGGTATAAAAACAGGGAAAAAGCGTTCATTAAACATTAACGCTCTGCTTTTGAGTAAAAAGCAGTTTAACTTAAACCACTCGCGTTTAACTCTGCAGTTTTACAGATCTAANGTTTCTCCAAAAGAAAGTAACTCACAAGAAGTTTTTGATATGTCTAGCTTTTTAGAATTGCTCAAATGCTTGACGGATGCGCTTTTCCCATCCTGCTAAAATTGATCAAAGCTAAATATTTCTGAAATAAATTAAACTACCCCTTCTTTGATATTCGAATGCATTATAACGTCTTTAATTTCATTTGCAATATTTTTGACGAACCTTCACTTTGTTCAAGATTTTAGCTTCGAAAGTAATTTTGTAAGCAAAAAATTGATTAGATGTGAAAACTCATGGACAAGGAAAAATTGAAGGGAAAAACGAGAAGATTTAATTGCGATAGATAGACCTTTCTACCCTGTTCTAAAACTAGGAATGCCATGACCGTCATGGAGAAAAAACCCACCATCTAAAGTCATGCCTACCTGATGTACGCTTGGCTTGTATCTGGTGATACTACTGACTGCACTCAGTCGATGGACAGTTTAATCTATCAGGTGCTGTATCTTGCAATTGATTACAAAATCATTTTAATAGAATAGTCACGAGGAGAGTGTTTACAATTCATGAAACAATAAGTTTACCAGCTGAGCTGATATATTTTCTTGACTATTATTTATAAAAAAGTCATGGAGCGGCTGTCTACAATTCATGAAGTAATTAGTTTACCATGTGGGCGTATTGGAACAAGTTACATTTTATATCATTTTAAAATAGTCACGGTGTGATTGTTTACAATTCATGAAGCAGCAATTAGTTTACCAGCTGGGCGTACATTTAATGTTTATATTTTCAAGAGTCTCAAAATTATACCACCAAGAGACTCAATTTATTGCTGGCTAGATATTTTCAAGGTCATAGCAGGATGGTATCGACTTTTCTAAAAATACGCGTTGGTTATTTAAATAATTGTCGGCCGATTAAGGTCTGTATATCTTTAAGTATCTTTAAGTATTTTTTTCATTATACATGTCATTTCCTAGAAAAAAAAAATGGTGTTAGAGTTCTGGTTGGAGTTTTACTTAGTATGCCAACAAAGGTTTTAAGGAAGAAATTGGTTTTAAAGAGGGAAAAATAAAATATGAAGAGAAAGAAAAATCAAGGCGGGCTTTCGTCGTTGAGTTGAAGAGAATTTACACTGAATTAGAAAGACTTTGAGCCAGTCCGAGTGTGAGACAGGAAGCTTTCATCGAGAACTTTTCATATTCCAACCCGATTGTCTTTAAGCATTCAAATCCAATTTTAATTAGCGATCGATATTTATGTTTAAATTGTAAGCACAATTCCATCACAAATGAATGGCTATCAAAACTCCGTCTCGGTAAGCACAAAAGGAGGACCCAAAAGTGGAGACCCCCCAATCTTCAAAGTGGCCGACACCAAGGCGGTGCAGCTTTTGTTTAGGGTCTGTTCGGTGAGCGGATTGTAACGACAAGACCTTATTCCTCCAAGCTACAACAATTGCTAAGCAACTATTCAAGACTTTATCTGAAAACAAAACAAAAAAAAAATACCAGTTGCTGCTTCAAATTTTGTTATTACAGTTAAAAGCTGCCGACATAAAGAACCTCTTCAAAACGAAGTCGACAGCCCGTAGAAAGTAGCATACTATTCAGCCTGGACAAGATTTATAACTATAAAACACTGCGACAATATGGAAAAACTTAAAACCATTTTGGTTTAAAAAAAACGACGACGTTTCGACGTTCGCTTGACGTCAGTAAATGATAATGACGCTAAGCGAACGTCGAAACGTCGTTGCTGTTTTTTTGAAACCAAAATGGTTTTAAGTTTTTCCATATTGTCGCAGTGTTTTACAGTTAAATTGTTGAGAAAATCTCTTCTTCCAAAGATTTCTAACACTAAAATCAGTATACGAAACAGAACTATGGTATACTGTTACAGCGTTATTTAACGAAAACATCCTCTCAGCCGCCTGGTATTTCGTTATCATCTCTTGCATACCCCGGAACCTCTGCTTCTTAATTCAAACCTGTGCCGTTATTAATTAGGACCAGCTATGGTTTCTTCTTGCATAATACCCGTCTACCGAACTACTCGTAGCTACCTCGACAAACGTTCACAAAGAACGCAGCCCACGAACTCCGTCCAAAGATTCGCAAGAAAGTTCAGTGTCGAGAAAAGAAAGGTTTGAAAAGTTTGGAGGTGCAGTAAAATAAAATGTTTGGTTTCCCTTTGTCCTTTCTGTCATGAAAGTGAGTAGGTCGGTCGGTCGGTTGACACATGCGGCATGACGGTCATGGCATTGCTAGTTTTATAACAGGGTAGAAAGGTCTATCTATTGCAATTAAATCTTCTCGTTTTTCTCTTTAATTTTTTCTCATACACGGGTTTTCACATTTAGTACACTTTTTGCTTAAAAAATCACTTTCTAAGCTAAAATCTTGAACAAAGTGAAGGTTCGTAAAAAAAAAAAAAAATTAAAATGAAGGTAAACACATTTCAATACATTCGAATATCAAAAACTCAGAGATTTATACCAGAAATATTTGCTTTGATCAATTTTAGAAAGATGGGAAGAGAGTATCCGTCAAACAAATGAACAATTCTAAATAGCTAGTACATATCAAAAACTTCTTGTGAGTTACTACCACCTTTTGGAGAAACTACAAGTATTATTTACGTAGCAGAATCTCTTAAGAATGCTTTTTCAAGTATTTTCTTAGGTGCAAAGAAATATACTGCAGTTAGTTTTTCCTGGCCATTGAAGTACACAACATGTGTTACACCTTCCCTATGTTCTGCTCAACAATGTAGCGCTGAAATGTTTCATGGGTTTGCCTGGGTCTTTCTTGATGTAAATAAAATTATTGGTTGTGATAAATTAATCCCTCACTGTTCAAAAATTTTAGTGGCCATGTTCAAAATGCGTTGAAGAGGAAGAAGTGCAATTTGATATTCTGGTACGAAGCCCGAGTAAACGTTCTTGGAGCATCTAGTGTATGCTGATTTATTTAATTTGATATTCTGGTACGAAGCCCGAGTAAACGTTCTTGGAGCATCTAGTGTATGCTGATTTATTTAAAAATTATCACTTATTAATAATTATCATTATTATCATTACGGTGAGGTCCGTCAACACACACCTGTTCTTGCCCGCCTGTTTTTTTTTTCTCTGTATATTTTATTTTACTCATATTAAACCAGTTGCTTCCTCAAGAACTTTTATTGGCCGACTAAGCAAAAAAATCCAGCCAGAACTCTAACTCCAATCGTTCTGCTAACTGACGTTTAAAACAAAAACCCCTTTTGCAAAAGTGGCAAACAGAAGCTAATTAAACAAAACGAAATTGCAGCGGCATTTTGTGCAAACGCAAGAGTTCTTTAATTGAGGATATACAGACCTTAATCGACGGAAAGTTAAATTAACGAGGTGTATTTTTCTATGGCTTAGTTGAAAATATCTAGATAGCAATAAGTTTTCACTTTATGGTATAATTTTTAGACTCGTAAAAGTATAAAAAATAAATGTACGCCCAGCGGGTAAACTAATTATGGTAATTAAATGCTCCCATTTTACTATTTCTTACTGATACACTGGATACGTATGAGTTTTCACATCGAATCAACTTTGAACTTCAGAAATTAGTTTCCAAGCTAAAATTTCGGACAAAGTAAAGGTCCATTAAAAATTTAAAGCTCGTGAGCAAATACATTGTATTGCATCCGATAATTAAAAGGCACAAAGGTTTTTATCAGAAGAATTTAGCTTTGATAATTTTAACAAGATGAAATCGGCGAATTCGTAAAACAACTTAAGAGTTTGAAAAGTCATTAAATATCTACAACTTTGACTCGAAGTAATTTACTACAGTCTCTTCTGAAGCAGCTAGTATTTATTTGGAAGAATCTTTTTTGGAATGTTTTTTTTTCGAGGATATTTTTTTTGGTGCGAAAATATGCTGCAGTTACTCTAACCTGGCCATTGTAGCACACAACATGTGTCACGTTTTCAGCCACCCTGTTCTGCTCGACAATGTCGAACTGAAATGTTTTAAGGGTTTGCCTTGGTCTTCATTGGTGCATATTAAAATAAACTATTACAAATGACAAATTAGTCCCTTAGTGCTTAGCAGTTTTAGTGGCCATATCCGAAATGTGCTGAAGAAAGAGAGTTCGAAGTATTTTTCCGAAGGTTTTGTTCCAATACGCCCACCATGTGGGCGTATTGGAACAAATTACATTTTATATCATTTTAAAATAGTCACGGTGTGATTGTTTACAATTCGTGAAGCAGCAATTATTTTACCAGCTGAGAGTACATCTAATGTTTATATTTTCAAGAGCCTCAACATTATATCACCAAGAGACTGAATTTATCGCTGGCTAGATATTTTCAAGGCCATAGACGGACGGTATTGACTTTTCTAAATTACGCGTTGGTTATTTAAATAATTGTCGGCCAACTAAGGTCTGGATATCTTTAACTAGAGTATTCCAACGTTTGTTCAAAATATCGCCACTTTGTGTTGTTCATTACTCTCGCAAAAAATTTTCTTCGTTATACACGTCGTTTGCTAGAAAAAAATGGTGCTAGAGTTCTGGTTGAAGTTTTTGCTTAGTATGTCAACAAAGGTTTTAAGGAAAGAACTGGTTTAAAGAGAGAAAAATAAAATATAAAGAGAAAGAAAAATCAAGGCGGGCTTGCGCCGTTGAAATGGACAGAATTTATACTGAGTCAGAAAGACTCTGAGTCAGTCAGAGTGTGAGGTAGGGAGCTTTCATCGACAACTTTTCATATTCCAACCCGATTGTCTTTAAGCATTCAAATCCAATTTTAATTAGGGAACGATAGTTATTTTTAAATTTTAAGCACAATCCTAACACAAATGAATGGCTATCAAAACTCCGTCTCGGTAAGAACAAAAGGAGGATCCAAAAAGGCCCTCCCAATCTTCAAAGCGGCCGACATTAAGGCGGCGCAGCTTTTGTTTAGGTCTGTTCGGTGTGCGGATTGGAACGACAAGACTTCATT